AAAAAATTCATTACAGAATGGACATTTGTCCGACAAACATTCGTAAGTTCTATTATGAAACAAAATAAACCGAAATTACAAATTACACAGAATAACTGAGTGAATTAAATTTATTTTATATTAAAAATAATTGTCATGTGTAGGTCATTCAAATTAATTTTACTGTACCTTTTAGAAATTCGCTATGAATATATAAAAATGCGACAAACTTATTTACTTGTCCAATGAAATATCAAATTAACTTAATTAGGACTAGTTTCATGTGTCGGAAAAAGCTTCATAGCAGTTTATTGCTGTCATGCTTAGAAATACACAAATGAGTGGACCTTGTTCCAAAACGACTAAAGTAGAATATTCATCTGCTTTACTGATAGATTACATTACTTATTATTTGTGTTTTATTTAATTTCTTATGTTACAAAGAAAAATAGATCGTAAGAAAAAAACTATATTAAGTGTATGATTATCGGATATGATGTTCTTTCCTCTCGGAAGGTTCTTTCATTCTAGTCATTAAAAATAGCAAAAAAATAAAAATAAATATATAAAAAATAAAGTATATATGAAATTTCAAAATAATGTGTAAACATAAATATAATTAAAAAATAAAAAAAAGTAAAACTTTATTATAAAATAATAGAGAGGCAAAATTTTAGTTTTCAAAAATGGCAATCGAAGAAAAAAGCGAAGTGGTGATTACCGATCACGATGTAGCAAGTTATGACGAATATGAAGATAAATCTATTGAAAAAAGAATTATCAGGAAATTGGATATTTATTTATTACGTATGTTTTAATTATTATATACAATATCCGCAAGCTTCTAAATCCTTGACTAACTTATTATAAAAACTTCCCGTTAATTAGCGATATGTACTTTATTGTACTTGTTCTTGATAGTCGATCGTTCCAATATAGGCAACGCCATTGTAGCAGGCTTCACGGGAAAATACTTACAATCCTCAGATCTTGAATTTAATCTTGCCGTAGCTGCACATCTTTTTGGTATTGTGTTCTTCGAAATTCCTTCAAGTCTTGTATCAAAAATTTTGGGATTTCATGTTTGGGTTCCGATCATAATGGTGTGTTGGGGTGTCGCATCTATGTGCCAAGCTGCAGTTACCACCTCACTTCAATTAGGAATTGTTAGATTCCTTTTAGGTTAGTTCTATTTAATTACAATAATTTAATTACAATAATTTAATTACAATAATTTAATTATAATTATTTACGGCATAATAATATTGCTAAAAATTTATTAATTAATTAATAAAGGAGCGGCAGAAGCTGGATTTTCTCCTGCTGTTATAGACT